GCACGGCAGAGCCACGGGGCATGGATAAGACGAAAAACACAAATCGATGGCTCGAAGCCCCTTCAGAAACCAACGCATCTAAAAATTTGTGACGACGGTGATTTAGATGATGGCATACCTGTAGAGGCGGTACTTTCCTATACCTGCGTAATGGCTGCCCTCGTTCGTAATAATCGTTTTGATCCTAAACTCGATCGAATATAATTTGTTAGACACTTCTTTAACGACATCACACTATTCCGCAACTATCCGACGGATACCCCTTCCACCAACTCACGTTTTCGCACTGTTGTATATACGACCAGCCGTAGGGCGTCGACATAATCGGCTGCAACAGAACTTTTAAGGGGGGTTAAGCAGTCAAACTTTTAGTCTTGAAAAACGAAAGGGCTACTGCATGAAAGTCACGACAAATTAATGCAGTGCAGTCCGGAAGTTTTGCCGAAAAAATGGCATTGCTGGAAAAGGTCACCGCTTACACCCAAAAATCCATAAAAGTGTTTTTAGTTTGTTCTTTTTTTGCGCTCGAAACCATGGCCTACCATATCGAGTAGTGCGCGGACCTCGAGCCGCAGTTTCCGGACCGCACAGATCCGAGAGAGGAGCCGGGTGAACGGTGCGAAATACCGTCGGTTCTTCATACAATACCGCCTGAAAATGAGATGGTCGGCTGACAAGGAGTCGTTTTTGGGTGATATTGGGGTTTTTGAACGAGACCTAGCTAGTTCGATAGAGAAAAAAAATTCTGAACAAGATGTCGGTTTCCAAATCTGCTAACCGTGCACTGTATTCAATAAAAATTAATTTTAATGAAAAAATTCCTGGACGTCAGGCTGCGACCCATGGATCAGGCCCGGGACATAACCCACAGCGCGCACCAGCATCCGCATGAGATCGTGGCCTTGTGGATAGTGCCGGCGCCTATCAAACTTTTGCAAAATTATGCCCAGGGTTCGGAACTTATTGTGATTTATTGTTTTGCTTTTTGGTTTTTCATGCCATTGAAATCGAATTTGGCATTATCGAGCAAAAAGCAAAAGAGTTTTACTAGCGAGGAGTCGAACTCGCTGGCAAAAAAAAGACAAAAACTTATGAAGCAAGCGCACTACCAATAGGCCAGTTGGTCATGGCTGGAGGGAGGCCTAAAGGGGTCTATGTCGACGCGCACCCAGAGCGCAGAATCTGCGGATCAGGCGGAAAATGACGGTTACATTAATGATTTTCAAATTAATTTTTTTTGGACAGCGTACACGGTTAGCAAATTTGGAAACCGACATCTTGTTCAGAATTTTTTTCTCTATCGAACTAGCTAGGTCTCGTTCAAAAACTCCAATATCACCCAAAAACGACTCCTTGTGAGACTTTGAGAGAGAGGAGATCTTGATTTTTAATATCCTAGGGTCACACGGGGTCACCAGGGGGGCCATGACAGTTGCGCAAAGACGTTTGAGGAACTGGGGGGCTTCAGCAACAATGTTTTCTGAGTAAACGCGGGGAAACGGGGTTGTTCAAACGGCGTTTTTGCCCCTTATGAACTTTTCGGTCCGGGTCGCGACTCGGACCTTTTCTAGCCATTTTGCGCGAATTCCGTCTCTGTTGGCACCGTCGCCAGCAGGGTTGGTCACACTGGACCCCAATCGGATCCGGTCCGGTCCGGGGGTCGGTCCGGTCCGGTCCGGTCCGAAATTTCCATCCGGACCGGACCGACTGACCGGACCGGACCTGTCCGGTCCGTGGCGGGCCGAGGGGTTTTGATTTGCTAGGAGAAACGGAAATGCAACATGCAAATTCGGATTGCAAAAGAGTGGCGTACGAAAAATCCTTTGTGACCAACCCTGGTCGCCAGAACTAGAGGTAAAGTGGATGCAAATTCGGGGATCCAACGTATATGTCCCTCCACGGCTGGAAACAAGGGGTATAAGTCGGTATACGTACTACGGCGCTGATGTGGTGGCCGATCACCTGTTCGAAAATCATCTGTTCGAAAACCGTCTGTTCGAACACGGCCGTTCAGATCTATGGGAAGGCGCGCATGAGAGGGGCTTCCCCCACTCCCCAAAAATGTTAAGAGCGCCGCTCTTCTTTAGCTCATAACTTTCCCCCCTGACCGTATTTTGAAAATCGCCGCTCGAGTTCGATAGAGAAAAAAATTCTGCACATTTTAGTATAAAAAACTTTAAGGAATAGCGGCTGACAGAGTTTTCTATAGCGTTAAAAAACCAGCCATAGAAAATGTTAAGGATTTTCTCCTTTTTTGCTGATAACTTTTCCCCTGGGTCATATTTCGAAAATCGCCGCTCTAGTTCGATAAAGCAAAAAATTCCCCACAATTTCGTAAAAAAACTTTTATATAATGAAGTGTTGGAAGCGTTTTCTATAGCTTTTAAAGCTCGTGCACGCTCTGAACGGCCGTGCGAAAATCATCCGTTCGAAAATCATCTGTTCGAAAATCACCTGTTCGAAAATCATCTGTTCGAAAAGTCATCTGTTCGAAAAGTCATCTGTTCGAAAATCATCGGTTCGAAAAATCACCTATTCGAAAAAGGTCCCAAATGGGGAAAAATTCTATGGGAAGCTATTGCTACTAAAATGCTGTGTTTTGCATGTTTCGTGGGGAAGTTCAAGGAAAATCTGAAATTGCGCGGCTATATTGAATCCTCCGCCAAGCCAAAAAAGCGCCCGAGGGTGACCATCGACGAGCAGCAGCAGCTCTGCGAGAACTACAGCAAAGAATATATGGCCGAGTTCCTCGACAACATCGCCAAAATTATAACCTGAATCTTCATGAATATGTCTTTTTGTTTTATTTTAGTTTTTTTGTCATGAAAAGTCTTTTCAAAAAAAACTTTGAATTTTGGAAAAGTTGTTGCTTCGAAAACGGTGTTTTTTCGAACAGATGATTTTCGAACCGATGATTTTCGAACAGATGACTTTTCGAACAGATGATTTTTCGAACAGATGTCTTTTCGAACAGATGATTTTTCGAACAGATGACTTTTCGAACAGATGACTTTTCGAACGGATGATTTTCGAACAGGTGATTTTCGAACAGATGATAGGGAATCCGCTGATGTTATCAATTAGCAACTAACCTCATCGGTGTTTTCAAGGTGGGACCAAATTTGTGGGTCCCGTTTGGATAGCCCGGTTCTTCCGCGTCCGCCGCGATGCTAAAAAAACATTATCGCGAGCTGCCGGCAGCCATCGGACTTTCCAGGACTAATATATTTCGGGGGAGGGGGATGAAAATTTTCCATGGTCATTTTGGTCATTCTTTTTGTTCGCACGAACACCTTTGCCGAAAGGAGGAAGAACATTAAGAAGAGTTAACGAATAAGAATCGGCGTAAGCAAAAACCAAAATGACCCAGGCAACCTTGTTTTAAAAAAACCTGACACGGTTTTGAAGAAGCGGGTATTTTTCAAACTCACGCTACGCTTGCGTACATTTTATCTAGGGTGTGATACAGTCGGTTATGTGGATAGCTGACAGCAATGACGACACCACCACGGCTCTGCACCGACATCTGGACGAACGGCATGCCCAGCTGAAAGTTGCAGTATCGTTCCGTACAAAATTCGTCAGAACATGATTATGTTTTAAAGGCGTACGCAACTGTCAAAATTGAGTTACGGCCCAAAAATCGGAGCCCTGTACATCGAAGGGCTTTGCGCATCCACGGGTCGGTAAGCTCGGGAATTGGAAAATACCTGTGGCCGCCTCCAGGGTCACTCGGTTGCCGGGCCAAATTTGATGATCAAAAACCAGATCAAAAACAAATTCAGGAGGATTTTAGAAATGAGCTCAGAATCTGCGAAGATCGAGTTTTCACAAAGAAATTGGGCAAGAACAGTTTTGGGCAAAGGTCGAAAGGTGAGGGTTCTCGTCCCGCAGCGGTCGTTGGCAATTTGCTAGGAATCAAAGAGCCCTACCAAACGTGCATGAATTGGCATTTCTGTGCCCCTTTAAAGCGATCAGGAAGCCCGGCTAGATTAAGCATAAACCCGGTTTAACTTCAAAATTAGCATAAATCTTCTCTGCTCCCTCTGGGATTAAAAGAATCAAACCTACTCTCTACTTCGTATTTTGCATTAGCATTTCTGACTGGCAAATTGCCAATTATACAAGGTGTCCCAACCCCCCTCCTCGGCATTTGGCCGTCTTCTATCCGATCGGGACCAAATTTTTACCAGCGATGGATAACCATAAAAACTATGTGCAGCCGAATTTTCAAAGCAAACCATCATAAAATACGCTTGAAATAAGCAAAATATTATATTCTTGTGTAAAAATTCAGGTTTTTGCTCTTTGCATCCCGCATGGTATCCTGCTTGTTACAAGCGTATTTTACAATATTTTGGGTGCTTCCGGGTTATCGGGGGTCGGTTATTTTAGCGGGGGTCGGTTGGCATCTTCTTTTTGTTTAGCCTATACCTGGCTAGTGAAAAATTGTAGTTTATCTTAATACTGTTTTTAGTAGCTTCCGGTATTCAAAAATTATGAAAATTTTTAGCCTATAGTCACGAAATCTAGGGTTATAGCGCGGTTTTAGCCATTTTCATATACGTTAGACCGCAAAAGAAAACATTTTTTCTACAGGTTTTATGACATTTTTCTTAATGTCTCCTCCCCCGCTAACAGTCCAGAACCATTTCAAACGGCGCACAAGTCTATAAAAACGGCCAGCTTTTAATTAGCCGAGCCGCACGATATTATAGAAAAAAAGTTCGCGACCGACCCCCGCTAAAATAACCGACCCCCGATAACCCGGAAGCACCATATTTTGCATTGAAAATTCGGCTGCACGTAGTTTTTATAGTTATCCATCGCTGGTAAAAATTTGGTCTCGATCGAATAGAAGACGGCCAAATGCCGAGGCGGGGGAACACCCTGTAGATGAGCCTACATGGGCGTTCCCGATCCCTTTAAAGCAAGAAAAAAGGAAGTCAGCGCCGGAGACCGGCGCTAAAGCTAGAGCACAGGGTTTTGCTGTTGTATTACGGCTGGCCGAATTCAAGAAATCCCTGACATCGGAAAATCTATTGGAAACGCTGTATCCGTGACTTTAAATTGGCAAACTGTTGCGATGCGTCAGATTTCTGTTAATCAATACCTCTTGCTCGGAACGCCCGGGAACGAAGAGCCCATTAAGGGAAAGTTCGGCGACACGGCCCGGCAGCAGCCCTCGCCCGTTGATGCGGCGTCTGGAAAGCGGTCGTTAGCGCTTCGAAATTAAAAAAAGAAAGGATTACTACTGTAAACAAAAACAAAAAAAAATAACGGATTTTTCGACCAAGCATGGCCTTTTTTCGAGGAAATTGCCAACCTAAAATTTTATTGGTTTTTGGATTGTTTTTCCCATTACGATTTCATTACATCGCGCGAAAAACACGGTTCTTTCGCAATAGCGGGGGCGGTGGAAACCAACCATTTTAAGCATTCGTTTTTCACAAATAAATCGCGGTAAAGTATCTAAATCGTATTATTCCAACCGTGAAGACTACACAAAATTTTAAAAAATGCCAAAAATATCGCTTTTTCGACCAAAAGTGGCTATTTTTCGCCAAGATTTCGAATTTTTTAAAGCTTTTAGATAGTTTTTCTAGTTATTTTTTACCAATAGCACTATTAAAACACTGGCTATTAAGCCATTAGGTATTTCTAGACTTATACAAAAAGGTTCAGTCCCCCTTCCCTGATCATAAAACCAAAAAAAACTATTAAAATACTGCTAATCGATTTGTGGACTTGTAGGAAAATCCACGGCTCTATACCGGCAGCGGGGATTTTTCGCGGAATCGGGGATTTTACCCGGAATCGGGGGATTTTTCCTGAAATCAAGAACGAAACAAAGATCAGCGGAACCCAACAAATTGCTAAATTACCGTAAAGCTTTGGTGGATCGGTGCACGGCAATGAGCTCATCCGGCTCCAGGTGATCAAACACGGAATTCTGTAGTTCGGCTGGCAACGCGTCTAGTCGCATCTATCTGGAAAATATCAAGAGATACGCACCTGGGTCAGACCTGCTAGCAAGGCGGGGATTCTACGTAATTAAACGTAAGCCTAATTTGGTGTCAACGCGTTCGCGATCGGACATTGTATTTGTAGAGGTAGGCTTTCTGTAGGATGTCCCAAGAAAGCTCGACCGCTACCAAGCGGTCCGGAAGCGAGTCTGGTTTTTACGAGTTAGGGACGTAGCTATCCATGGCTCCCCATGGCGCACTTTAACTACACGGGGCGCCTATCGCCGCCGGGCCGCCGTGCAGCGGGCCTCCCCATATTAAATCGAAAGGGAATCATTCTTTTCTGCCCATAACTTTGTCTGTAAGGTATCAAACCTTTGTGAGCTATGAGAAATTTGTAGAAAAAAATTCTCTATCGATCTGGCATAGCCGCTTAAAAAGTTCTCATCAAAATAAGGAACTATGGGCGTTTGAAATTTCGAAATCCTAGGTTTAGGTCCTTTTAAGGGTAGTTTGTGGACCACGCATTCTCAAATTACGAAGCTAAAAATATTTTCACTGGAAAACCCAAGGCAAGTTGAGCAGATATGTGCTTTCCGATTTGCGAAACTCCGGAATTTTCTTACAATTACTAATATTTTTGCGAAATTGAGCGAATTCTTGAAGCTTCAGAACAAAGGATTTTCTGGTGCTTCCTGGTTATCGGGGGTCGGTTATTTTAGCGGGGGTCGGTTGCGAACTTTTTTTCTATCAGGTTGGATAATAAGTTCTGTCACAATTTTTTGGAATCGCTCGTTAAAGCTGCAGACGTGCCCAAATTAATAGTGTGATATATGGTTTGATAGGTCTCCTTGAGCTCTACCCTGGGTAGACCCACCTCGCACCCAAAAATTGAGAGTCGCCGAGATAGAGCTTCGAGAAGTTTTCCGCAAAAACGTACCAAACCTATTTTGCAAGCTATCTCTGCATAGAGCAATTTGCATGCGATACCTTTAACACCAATCGATAGCTCTCGAGGAGTAGATATCAATGGATGTTGAGATCATCAAAATTGGCCATCGGATGGCCGAGATACGCCTCCTTGAAATTTGGCCCATTTCTTAGAACTTTGCCAAAATCCCGACATTTGGTCAAATGCGCTCGGTTCTTTTGAAAATCAAGCGGTCAGTTTTGGCTGCGGGCTATCAAATGTATGGTATTTCGGGAAAAGTTCTAAGAAATAGGCCAAATTTCAAGGGGTCGTATCTCGGCCATCCGATGTCCAATTTGATGATCTCAACATCTATCGATATCTACTCCTCGAGAGCTATCGATTGGTGTTAACCGTATTGCATGCAAAGCACTGTATGCAGAGATAACTCGCTAACACGCTTTTGCGTAATTTTGCGAAAACCTTCTCGGGTCTGTATCTCGACGTCCCTCAATTTTTGCGTCAACTGAGGGTCCTCCCAGAATAGAGTGTTGTGAGACCTATCAATCCATACCTCATACTCCAGAATTGGAAACATCTGCGATTTTAACGAGCGATTTCAAAAAATTGTGACAGAACTTATTATCCAACCTGATATAATATCGTGCGCGGCTAATTAAAAGCTGACCGTTTTTATAGACTTGTGCGCCGTTTGAAATGGTTCTGGACTGGTAGCGGGGGAGGAGACATTAAGAAAAGCGTCATAAAACATGTTGAAAATTTTTTTCTCTTTCGGTCTAACGTATATAAAAATGGCTAAAACCGCGCTATAACCCTAGATTTCGTGTCTATAGGATAAATATTTTTATAATTTTTGATTATCGGAAGCTACTAAAACAGGATTAAAATAAACTACAATTTATCGCTAGGCAGGTATAGGCTAAACAAAAAGAAGATGCCAACCGACCCCCGCTAAAATAACCGACCCCCGATAACCAGGAAGCACCGATTTTCTTAAAAAATCACATACACTCACATTTGTGAATATTCACGCCTTTTGCGACAGCCCACCGACACCTATTTGCTTTTTTCTTGCTATTTGCTTTCACGTCATTTGCAAAACATAGCTGCGATGGTGCCAAAGCCAAGAAAGTCGAATTTTTTTTGAAAAAATAAGGGTAACTTTGTCATGAAAAAAGCCGACAATCGCGCAAAAAATTCGGGAATTTCGACAATCTGAAAGAACATATCTCCTCGGCTCGTCGAGGGCTTTCGGATAGATACCAAAAATCGTAGAAATCGGACCGCTAGGTAGGGGTTTTTTTTGGGGACACCCTATAGTACAGTCGCTATCTATAACAGATGAAACAAATGTCTGTAGCGTAAAAAGCTAAGAAAGTTTAGGATTTTTTAAAATTGATTGAGATTGGTCGAAAGCAGGGAGAGGTGAAAAGTGAATCGAACCGCAAAACAGCAGATTGCCCGAAATAGCACTGGAAATCCGATCTGCTACGATAATTTTGCCGCCCGTATTGACCGCTGCCCTCCGAACTACAGCGCTGTTGCATTAATGAAAAGACCACACCTGCACGGATTGATAGTGGAGACGCTCCAAATAGCCGGTTTTTGTCCGCATTGGGGGCAAGACACAGAAAGGTCAAGCGCATTCTGGCATGGTAACGTATTGTGAAAGATCTTTCGGTTCTTTAGGATTTCCGGGGCCGGGGGGGAGGGGAACCAAATTTTTTCCTGGTTTTCCCGGTTGACCTAGTAATCAAATATAAAGTGTTTTCACATTGTTTTTAGTAAATTTTAACTATATTTAAAGTAGAAAAACCTTTCAAAAAAGTTAGAAAAATGTTTGAAAAAGTCGAAAATCTAGTCATTTTGGGTCTTCCCCCCCCCCGCTAATCCTAAAGGTTCTATAAGATTTTTCGACCTAAAATTAAATTTTTTAATTAAAATGTGGGTAGTTTTTATGCTCAGGAATATGTAAAACAATTTAGAAACGCATGCGCTATTTAGAAAAAAATTTAGGCTTGGGCCGAAAAAATTTGGTTACCCCCCCCCGGAAATCCTAAAGAACCGATCTTTCCTACTCGAGAAATTTGGGGACAAACTTGGGCACTTTTTCTGATACACCCTGCAAAAGGTGCCAATGGAGGAACAAGCTAGAAAACGGCTGAAACGACGCGCGCAGGCCAGAACAGACCGGAAATATTTGCATCGAAAAATTTAAATCTGGCCGGCTTCCGGAAACCTCAATCAACATGCGTTAGACAGCATTTTTTTTTTGTTAAATTGCACTTCCAAAAATTCATTTCATTCCGCGCGCACCCAAAGGTTGGTCCCTTTCTGTTTTTTTTTGTAGCCTATTTTCTGGAATTTCGGAGCGACGGTATGGGCGACACGACGGCGCCGAACACGGATGGCGCCCCGGAGGGCACCGGCACCGTGTCGCAGGCCAAGCCCGCCTCGCAGAGTTGGTTTTTTTCGGGAACTTAATAGGAATTATCTTCGTAATGTTTTTTAGTACATAAAACTATATTTCAACTAGAAAAACTGTAAAAAACCGTAAAATTTTTCAAAAAAAACAGAATTTTGGTCAAAAACGGCCGTTTTGATCGCCAAAATCGATATTTTTATATTTTGTAATCAAATTTTCTAAAGTTTTACGTTTAGGAATAGCAACATAACTGTTTAGAAACAATTCCGCTATTTCGGTTAAAAAAAAATTGGTTCCTGCGACCAAAAGTCACCTAAAAATAGTTCTAAGTGTTTTTTATAGTTTTCGCGTTTAAAGATGGCTAAATCTACTAAAAGAATACCATTAAAACATTTAAGATTAGGTTATTAGACAAAGCTTGAAAAAAATTGCCCCCCGCTAATGCGAAAGAACCCCAAGCCATGCCTTTCTGGTCCCTTTAACAGCCGTGTCAGTGAAAAATAGCTAAATTTACTAAAAATACCATTAAAACATTTAATACTATGTTATTAGAGATTTATGGGTTTAAAAAAAGCATCCCCCCCCCGATAAGGTGAAAGAACCCCAAGCCATGCCTTTCTGGTCCCTTTAACAGCCGTGTCAGTGAAAAATAGCTAAATTTACTAAAAATACCATTAAAACATTTAATACTATGTTATTAGATATTTATGGGTTTAAAAAAGCCCCCCCCGATAAGGTGAAAGAGCCCCTTTAAAAACCGCTTGATTTTCCAGTGGACACTGCGACGACGACGGAGGAGCGGCCGCAGTTCGACTCAACCCTCCACTACCTGATGACGGCCATCGGGTACGCCGTCGGCCTCGGCAATCTGTGGCGCTTCCCGCGCGTCGCCTGGGAGAACGGGGGTGGTACGTTCCAGATGTTGCGCTACGCTACAAATGACGCATTCAGGCGCGTTTCTGATCCCCTACTTCACGTGCCTCGTCTTCTTCGGCATGCCGTTGTTCTATTTCGAGGTATTTTGCGTGTTTTTTAGGTTTTCCGCAAAGAATCTCTGCTAGCTGACCATCTAGATCGTTTAAATAAAAAAGATTATATGTAAAAATAGAATTAATTTCATCAGTAGTATCCCAATTGGTTGCTTAATTCTTGGTTCAAGTTGAGGCTGATTTTGAAAGCCTTGCCCCGAATCGTCTTCCCAAAGAATCTCGGCTAGCTACCCCGTTAAACACGACATTTTCTAGTCGTTCATCGGCCAGTTCACCCAGTCCGGCGCCAACAAGGTCTTCTTCCGCTACATGCCCGCCTTTCAAGGTGCGCCGAGGTTGCAGATTTTTGGAGAGCTTCCAGGGATCGGCTGGGCGATGGCGCTGCTCAGCCAGCAGGTGAACATCTACTACCCGATCATCGTCGGCTGGTCCCTCGTCTACATGTCGGTCTTTTGTGGAGGTTCAAGAGGCGAGCTAGCAGAGATCCCGGGGGAACACGAAATTCTTTCAAAATACAAAACAAAACAGGCAAAACATTTTTCTTAGATAGAATTTTGTAAATATAAACAGCGGAAATGTTTCTCACCCTTTTTTTACTATTCTGTACGTAGACTACAATACAAATTTTTGTTCAAAATACAAAAAATGACGTAATCTCACCAATTCCAGCCAAAGCATCTTGAGCGGCAACGTCGACAAGTGGACGACATGCGATAACCCGTGGAATACTGTCGGTGCGTCTTTCTTTCTCTCTCTCTCTCTCTCTCTCTCTCTCTCTCTCTCTGTATCTCTCTCTGTCGCTCTCTCTCGCTCTCTCTTCCCCCTCTCTCGCACTCCCTCCATATCTCTCACTTCCCTCTCTCTCCCTCCCTCTCTCTCTCTCTCTCTCTCTCTCTCTCTCTATCTCGCTCTCTTTCTTTCTCTCTCAAAGCCCCCATTTCAGACTGTGTGTCCCCGTTCGAAACAGCCAGGCTTTGTAAAGACGAGGAACGTATTAGGCAAGAAGGCGGGGCGGTGATGTACAAGGGAAACTGCGAATACGGCAACGCTACCAAACTCCAGGCCATCCGCGAGAAAATCCAGATCCCAACGTCCGAATTTTTTGAGTGGGGCTATTTTCCGAATTTTTGGGCCCCACAAATTACTACCGATCCCGCCCAATTTTCCAGACGCTACGTGCTGCAACGCTCCGAGGGCATCTTCAGCTTTGCCGGCCCGAGTTGGACAGGGACAAAGGAATATGAGGAGATACCCAGGGAACCGTCGATGATGAACTGGCAGCTGCTTTGTTCGTAATTTGCCATTACTGGGCACAGAATTCCTTAATGTTCTCTGCTAGCCTGTCTCTGCTATCCTGTCTCCAATTCCCCAATGGTTGCTGCCAGCCTGCTCGAAATATTCTGCGGGTCCATGGCCAGACTGACCAGCACCAGCCTCAGTCCACCGGCGCCCTTGCGCCCCCCTGCCCCGAAACGTGCCTCACCTGGCCCACTCAGCTGCGGGGGGTATATAAGGAGGGTCCTTTCCCCAGGTTCTTTTGATTCCAGGAACAATAGAAAGATACGGCCGGCTGACATGCAAATTCGTGAAGCTTTCCAAGTTTTTTGCCGCTTTTGTTGGGGTTTGACGGTTGGAATGGGGCAGGCTAGCAGAGCTTCTTTGCGGAATTGGAGGGAATGGAGTGGGCAGGCTAGCAGAGATTCTTTGAGGAATTCGAGGGGATGGAGAGAGCAGGTTAGCCGAGATACTTTGAGGAATTGGAGGGGATGGAGGGGGCAGGCTAGCAGAGATTCCTTGCGGAAGCGAACCGTCCTTTTGCAGTCTCGATGGCCTTCCTGTGGGGCGTCTCGTTTCTGATACTGTGGAAGGGTGTGAAGAGTATGGGAAAGGCCTCCTTCATCACGACGCCGGTGCCGTACCTTATCGTTGGTAAGTTTCTCTCTCTCTCGCTCGCCCTCTCACCCCCAATCTCTCGCTTTTGAGGCGCCTTCTTCATCCGTAGCCTCTTCCTTGATGGCATGGAGATTGGCCTGTACGCGTATCTGGTCCCCAATTTCGACAAGCTGGCCGACCTCTCGGTAGTGAACTTGCCGAACACGTCGTCACCCTCCCGATCTGACTTCAGACATGGCGCGCCGCCCTCTACCAGTGCTGCATGAGCCTGACGGTCGGCTACGGCGGCCTGCACACGATGGCCTCCTACAACCGCCCGGATCACAACTCTTTTCGGGTACTCTTTATTGCCATGCCCTGTACTCCTTCAGGACGCTTGGATTGTGGTGCTGGCCGACTCGTTGATGTCGATCATCGGCGGCTCGGCGGTCTATGCGACGCTCGGTCATTTGTCCTACGCGACCCAGATACCGCTCGACCAGCTCGACGTCACCGGCAAGTTCGAGGCGAGGTGCTGAGCCATTTTTTGGAGGATGGTCCCTGACGTTCATCACCTACCCGGAGGCCATGTCCAACCTGCCCTACCCATGGTTGTGGAATCTGCTCTTCTTCATCATGCTCGCCTTCCTCGGGTTGTCGACGGCTGTCGGTGGGTTTCTCTCTCTCGCTCTCTCTCTCTCTCCCTCTTTCTCGCCCACTACACAACATTCCAGTTGACACGCTGACCATCATCACGTGCATCGTCGACTCATCGGAAAGCTTCCGCCGCTACGCCACTCACATCACCGGAGCCGTTTGTCTGGCTCTCTTCCTCGGTTCTGTCACTCAATGCACCAATGTGGGTCTCTTCAAATAATCTCTGCTAGCCTGCCCCCGTCCATCCCCTCCAATTCCTCAAAGAATCTCTGCTAGCCTGCCCCCGTCCATCTTCTCCAATTCCTCAAAGAATCTCTGCTAGCCTGCCCCCATCCATCCCCTCCAATTCCTCAAAGAATCTCTGCTAGCCTGCCCCCGTCCATCTTCTCCAATTCCTCAAAGAATCTCTGCTAGCCTGTCCCCATCCATCCCCTCCAATTCCTCCAAAGAATCTCTGCTAGCCTGCCCCCGTCCATCTTCTCCAATTCCTCAAAGAATCTCTGCTAGCCTGCCCCCTCCATCCCCCCTCCAATTCCTCAAAGAATCTCTGCTAGCTTGCCCCCTCCATCTGCTCCAATTCCTCAAAGAATCTCTGCTAGCCTGCCCCCATCCATCCCCTCCAATTCCTCAAAGAATCTCTGCTAGCCTGCCCCCTCCATCCCCTCCAATTCCGCAAAGAATCTCTGCTAGCCTGCCCCCTCCATCCCCTCCAATTCCTCAAAGAATCTCTGCTAGCCTGCCCCTTTCAGGCGGGCATCTACATGGTGCAGTTGATGGACGACTGCAATGGCGGTATTGCTCTCGGTGTCGGCATTCTCCTCGAATTCCTCCTCATCGCCCACTACTACGACATTGCCGAGGCGCTCGGCTCGTTCAGCACCAACCCGTTGGAGGCGCCGGGATGGGGCCGAATGCGCCACGACCTGCAGGCCGCCTTCGGCCCACCGCGCAACATGCTCACGTACGGCCAAGCATTTTTTGGGGAAAGGCCGGCATCTTCAGCACGTTCGTCGGCAAGTCGGGCTACCTGTTCTGGGCCCTGTGGAAGGTGACGCCGCTGATGGGGGGTGCCGTGCTGCTCTACGAGATGTCGACACCGCCCAGCCTTGCCTACAAGTACGGCGTTTTTTGGGCTGCTAGACGTTGTTGTTGACGACGTTGATGACCTTGCTGGACTTGTTCTGCAACAAATCTGTTCGCGCTATCGTAACCATGTCCTCTGTACAAATCCCTTGAACCTGCTGAACTCGTGGTAGCACTCATAAGCACCTAAACGAAGACACCTAGACTCTTTCGATCGGAAATTCCTAATTTGAGCCCCGAACTGCTTCAAATTGAACACCTCCATCATTTCTAGAACTTGTTAAGTTGGCCTGAACAGCTCGAAGTTCTCGAACTCACTAAACTTGTTGTACCTGAAAACCCTGGAAAACAACGTTTTGACTTCTTTGAACCACCTGAACGTCTTGAACTTGCTGAATTCTTCGGACTCCCTGTACTTTAAATTTTTGAACTTCCGAAACCATTTGTACGGCTAGAGCTGCCTGAACTCCTTGAACTCCCTGCACTTCAAAGTTTTGGCTCCTCTAAACCCCCTGAGCGGCTTGAAATTCGCTGAACTCCTTTAACCCACCTTTTCCAGAGACTACGAGTTCCCGGCGCTGGCCAACTGGCTGGGCTACTTGTACGGCAACCTGACCCTGCTCGTCGTCATCGGCTTCTTCGTGTTCAACGTCGTGCGGATGGGACCGAAGGCGTTTCGCGTCCACCCAACCCATCCCTCATACATCAAGATGTATGGCGATGATGGATCGTCGGCTGGCGAGACGTCGAGGGTGATGGGAAGAGTGCATGTCCCGCTCGCCAGGCATCCTGAAGACGGCACACATCCGGCACCTGCCCAAGGAGGGGAGGTAGATTGTTTGCTTTCTCACTCTCTCTTTCTGTCTCTCTCTCTCTTTCTCTCGCTCTCTCTCTGTAACTCTCTCTCTGTATCTCTCTCGCTCTCTGTATCTCTCACTCTCTCTCACTGTCTTGCTCTTACTCTCGCTCACTCTCTCTCTTTCTCTCGCTCTCTCTCGCTCTCTGTATCTTTTTCTATCTTCAGGTCCCACCCAGCCCGGCCGCCACCACCGCGACGGCTTGATGATGATGATGACCAGCTCGAACTCCTGCTCCCCGATAGACCGATCGATTCCTGAACCTCATCGTGTCGTGCCACTCGTGCCCCCCCCTCTTGCTCTGGCACAACCCTAAAATCCCACGATCTCGGCTGTGATTTTTCGCTCCCCCGATGATCAGTCCCGTCCTTTTGATGCTCCCCCCTAGCACATGTCTCGCTTTTCTGACTTCTGACTGTTTTCGAGTCTGAATAAAGCACTACCAAAGATTGGAGAGAGAGAGAGAGAGAGAGAGAGAGAGAAAGGGAAAGAGAGAGAGATAACCAACCTTGCTTTTCTTCCAGGAAGACGTTAATTTTGAAGGCAGTCTAGCAAAGCACCTTGCGGAAGGCGAATTCTTGACTTTTCCGGGCGGAAACAAGCCACCTTCGAGGCAGGCTAGCAGAGATCCTTGCGGAAGGAAGCGATCGTGATAGCCAAAACGCTTGAATCTCAGCAGGTAAGCTAGCAAATACCATTGTGGAATCCGAATTCCGACCTTTTTGGGGGCGTAAATAAGCTAATTTTTAGAACAGGCTAGCAGGGATTCTTCGGGAACGTCAAATGGGTCCTGTACGAGTAAAGAACCTCACGCGTTTTAGTGCACGTTAGCAGGGATTCTTGGCGAACCCCAAACGTGCTCTTCCTAGGGTTATTTTGAGGGCAATCTTGCAGAGACACCTTATGGAAATGCAGGAAATTTTCTTAAATTAATTTCCTAATTTTTTTCTGGTTTTTTCTGATTTTTTTGCGCTACGGATGCCATTGGTGTGTTTTTGATGTGCTCCCTCTCCCACGAGATGCCGAAATAGCTATGCAATATAAATAGGGATGAACATCTCCTGGGGGACTACGTGAGGGTGGATAAACAAAACGTGATATTTATTGGGAAGGGAAAGAAGAAGCCGGGAATTCTTTGTCTGTTTTTTTGGTGCTATTTGTGGGCGCCTTCCTGCCCCCTCTCGTCCTCGGGCCGGTAGATGATCACCAGAATTTGCGGGAGTACAGCTGCTTTCGCACCTGAAAAAAAATGCAGTGGAAGGATGACCGGGTTTGGTGGGCTTTAGAGGGAGCATGACAGCAAGATGGAGCTCCTTTTAAAGGGAGTATGACAGCAAGATAGGGCCATTTTTAAAGGGGAGTCCCTAGCTTTAAAGGGGAACAATGAGGAGCTGTTCTTAATGGGAGCATGACAGCAAGATGGGTCCAGTGTTAAAGGGAGCTTGACGGCAAGTTGGAGCTCAATAGATAGTCTTAGCCAGACGGAGCGCCTTTTAAAGGGAGCGTTACAGCGAATTGGAGTTCCTTTTAAAGGGAGCATGATAACGATATGGAACTGTTTTTAAAGAAGCGCGACAGCAAGATGGAGCTCCTTGAAAGGAAAGCATGACAACAGGCCATGACTCCTTTAAAACGAGCATGAAAGCAATATAGAGCTGTTTTCAAAGTGATCATGACAGCAAGTTAGTGCTCCTTTTAAAGCGACCGTGACATCAAGCAGCCCATTTTAAAGGGAGCCTGATAGTAAGGTTAGTCCCTATTGAAAGCAAGGAGACAGCGAGCTTGAGCTCCCTTGAAAGAGGGAGCATGACAGCAAGATAGCGCTCTTTTCTAACAAGGAAGGGCACGTGGACGAAGTGGAATTTCGCAAAACCCTCGCGGCTACCCCCGGGTAATCGACTATGGAGAACACGATGCCGTTTTCCGATTTTCCTGCGGAGGCCTGTGGACAGAGATACAGCACTTCCGGAAAATGAAGATTTGCATGCGAAAAATTAGAATCCGGGGGAAGCTTTATTACGCTCGCTCAGCAGTATGGAATCACCGGTCGAATGGTCGATTGGTAAGCAACTCGCTTGATAGGATACTGACGAGGGTACGGATCCTCACACGATTTTTTCGTTTTGCTTTTTGACCAGTGGTTTTCGAACAAGGTTTCATTGCTATTTTTGCCGCGATAACTCTAAATTTTTAATTAATACGTACGTACGTACGTTATTGCAAAGTAACCAAATCTAAAATACTTTCACAAACTTTAGGAAACTTTTGCCTGATGGGAGGATGGCTGCCCATTTTCGCGAATATTTTTTAATTTTCAATTTTTTTTGGTGGGATAGCTATATCTATGATATTCATCGCTCTAAAAAATTTTGTCGAAGTCAAAGAAATTCTGGACTTGTCCAAAAAGTTCCTGTCAAAAAGCAAAACGAAAAAATCGTGAGAGGATTCGTACCCCTCGCCAGTATCCTATCAAGCGAGCTGCTTACCAATCGGCCATTCAACCGGTGATTCCATACTGATGGGCGAGCCTAATAAAGCTTCCCCGGATTCTAATTTTTCGCATGCAAATCATCATTTTCCGGAAGTGCTGTATCTCTGTCCACAGGCCTCCGCAGGAAAATCGGAAAACGGCATCGTGTTCTCCGTAGTCGATTACCCGGGGGTAGCCGCGAGGGTTTTGCGAAATTCCACTTCGTCCACGTGCCCTTCCCTTGTAAGAGCGTGAAAGCTAGCCGGAGCTCCTTTCGAAGGGAGCAGGACAGTGCGAGCGGGGCTTTCAAGGCAGAGTGACAGGTCGAAGAAGTAGCTTACTCGCTGATCACGGACCTGATCAGAGACGCCATCACGGCCACCAGGCACATGTTGACCCATCCATTGTCGCTGTGCACTCGAGAACAACGTCTGCAGATTCGTAGAGGAGAGATCAGCCACCGGTTCCGGACTGCCGACGAGCTGAAAAAGAGAAATCTTTTGGTCTAACTTTAAGTAGGTTTTTAGGCAATCCGGTACGTTGGCATTATCGGGGGGGGGGGATTTTGCTAATATAAAAATGGAGAAAGTTTTTATAAAATGTTTTTTGCTCGATTCTCGGCGTAAAAACGGTGCAAATTCTCGCTAACACACACACACAAAAATTTGAGATTTTTTTGACCAGCTCTGGCCGATTTTCGACCAAAAGTTTAACTAACATTTTTTATTAAGGTTTTTTTGCCATTTCTAAATGAAACTACTTCACAAATTCCCAAAATTGTCTCAAAAAACCCCAAAAATATGGATTTTCCAATCAAAATTTTGCATTGCAAAAATTTTTGAAGCTTTATACTATCAAAATATAGCTAAACATTTCCCCTAACGGACGTGGAAAGCAAGAAAATTGACCCCCGTGAATCGACTAGGTCTAGACAGCCAGACGAAACTCGAAATTGCGCGCCACGGTATTGAATTTTCGATTTACACCCTTGGGACACAGAAATATCTATTTTTAGGTGTCTTTTGGAGCGTTATTTCGCTGTCGAGACCTAGTCGACGGAGTGGGTCGATTTTCGCGCATCCCGTCGCGATTTTGTGTAAATTTTGCTACATACACCTTCATAGCCCCCAAAATCTTACCCTAAATACCCGCTGGGTGCACGCGGCGAGGAGGAGGAGCGTGAGGAAGCAGAACAGTCGACTGAAATGAAAGAAATTCAAACGTTGTTATTAATTTTGATTTTTTTGGGCGATTCTCCAGCTGTCGCAACGCCTTTAAAGTGCTTTTCACCACTTACCGTAGCACCATTTCGATACTGCCTAGTGTAGTATAGCGGGCCCAGGGGAAGATTGCGCTTGTCGCGAATCTGAAGCGAGAAAATTAAAGGGTGCTTCAGAGAGAGAAAGAAAGAAAGAAAGAGAGCGAGAGAGAGAGAGAGAGAGAGAGAGAGAGAGTGAGACAGAGTGAGAGAGACAGAGTGAGAGAGAGTGAGTGAGAGAGAAAGAGAACGAGGAATGGAGCGAGGGAGAGAGAGTGAGTGAGAGAGCAAGAGAACGAGGAAGCGAGAGAGAGCGAGCGCGCGAGAGAGAGAGAAAGCGATGGAGAGAGAGAGCGAGGGAGCTTAAAAAAATCAAATCATAGTCCATGTGTACACTGAAACAATCCGGAAATGGTCACGCAAAAATTATTGCTCCAATTTCAGGACAATTTTAAGGCCACCGTAAAGTAGGTGATTTACAGCTTCGGGGTATCGAAATTGGCCTCCCTGGCCAGTAAATGAGCCCGGAATCGGGCTTCCCGTAAATATTTTTGCACAAAAACGAGAGCAGGAAACAAGAGCAGTCAAGCAGAGATTTTAACGTTTGGGTCATTAAGCGAGGTAGCTTTAGTTTTAGCCTTTAGTTTGGAGCAGGCTCGCAGAAATTTTTGAGGAAAATAGAAAAGAGAGCTTGTAGGGGCAACCTAGCAGAGGCCATTGAGGAATTTCCGCTACGGTGGCAGGCAGGCAGAGGTCGGTTAGGAAATTTCACTGGCTTGACGTGCTAGCAAAAAGCGTTCAGGAATTTCGCTATCAAGGCAGGACAGCAGAGGTTCTTCTGGAATTTTTACTCGCTTTACAAGCTAGCCAAGGCCCTTTGAGACCAACAGATCGGGAAAGCGGGCAAAGACTCCTTGGAAGTCCGGACCGAGCAAGCTAGCAGCGACGATTTAGGCCTCGCTGGTCGGACAATCTAGCAGAAATCCGTTGGAAAGTGGAGCAATCTCACAGAGATCATGCAGAAAAGAAAAGTCAGGAATGTTGCAGAATCCTCTTGGATGTTAAGGCAAGCTAACAGCGATCATGCAGAAAGTTCTGTGGAATTGGCGAGCTATAGCAGAGAGCCTTGAAGGAAATTTGGTGCCGCAGCAGGCTAGCAGAGATCATTCAGGAACGTTCATTTGCTTGACAAGCTAGCAGGATTTCTTGAGGAGCTTTTGCTAGGCGGGCTAGCAGAGATTCTTCAGGAATTACACTAGCTTGACATGCTAGCAAAGATGCCTTGGGAGCTAGGGCCAGGCCAGCTAGCGGAGATGCGTTTGGGAACCGAAAGCGCCAAGACACCGGAACTGCCTTTATGTACCCGAGTTCGGAAAAGGTCCCGCTTTCATGACGTTTCCGTACGACCAGTACACAAACGGACAGCGGACACCTTTGGAAAGGTTTTTGCAAGAATAATAGGTCGCGAAAGCTCAAGGTGATGTCGTTTTCTGATAAATTGAGACTCAGCCGGAAGCCGGAAGTCCTCCCGAGGGGTCGAGCCAAAAATCTGGTGTGTAAAAGACCGGATTAGGCAGAACCTTTTTTTGGGGTGGACCGACCATATCGCTTCCTCCGGTCTTCTTGACGCCAGAAAAATCTGGATCTCTCTCTCCCTCTCTCTCTCTCTCTCTCTCTCTCTCTCTCTCTCTCTCTGTCTATTTTTTGGGAGTCATCTGGGGCGGAAAATAGAGATCTGCACATTGTTCTTGCCGATCGGAGATCAGCCCACGTGGGCGGGGGAGCTAGCAGAGATCATTTGGAGACCTATGCAGGCTGACGTCGTTATTCTAGGAAAAAGAGGCAGGTAAGCAGAGATTCTTTGAGGAATTGGAGGGGGGGTGGGGCAGGCGAGCAGAGATTTTTTTTGAAAAACCGCATTAAGCCCGGGTAGGCTAGCAGGGAATCATAGAGTAGACTTGCAGGCAAAAAAAACGCCGGAAAAAGCTGATGCAATCGCGCTTAAAAATTGAGGGAAATTGGGGAAACATTCTAGGGGCAGCTCTATCTAGCGCCTCAATAGGGGCCAGGAGGGGCACCCAAAAATGGGGTGAGGGCATGTCCGAATTGAATACACGCGGATGGGTGGCCGTTGGCTCGATGCATTGATGATGAATATTCAGCCTTCACTGCCCTGCTTCACCTCCAAAAAGTCACCTTTCACTGGCTAAAGCCAAAAATCATCTCCAAGAAGAGAGAGAGAGAGGAGAGAGAGAGAGAGAGAGAGAGAGAGAGAGAGAGAGAGAAGAGAGAGAGAGAAAGCGGACGAGAGAGGGCAGACTATTTATGCTGTACCCAGAATCGCGAAAACGATTATTATAACGGAATATTGAGAGGAATCACGTAGATTGTGTTTTTTTGCGAGCAGAGCAGAGATTATTTGAGGAATTTAGCGTCGGCAGCTAGCAGAGATTTTTTGGGAATCCAGAGATTATGGCAGGCTAGCAGAGTTTCTTTGAAGAACCGTGCTATCAGCAGCAACTTGGAAGGCCAGCTAGCAGAGATCTTTGAAGAAATAACTGGCGCAGGCTAGCAGAAATAATTTAGCAAAAGTAAAAAATGAGTCACAGGTGGGCTGGCAGAGATTCTTTGAGAACCCCAGTCTCCATCTGACGACGCTAGGGATGGGTAACAAGCAGAGATCTTTTAGAGTAAACCGAAAAATTAAAGAAAAAGGCAGGCTCGCAGAGATTTTTAGGAAAATGGAACGGGGAGTCTAAAAAGCGTGGGTCGCCTCACAAAACAGCGATTAGAAATTCATGAGCATCACGTCGACTGGTTGGAGTGCGGGGGGAGGTGTGTTCTGATTGCTCTTTTTTCGCCATTTATCCGTGGATATCAGAGCTAGCAGAGATTCTTCGAGGAATTGGAGGGGATCGAGGGGGCGGGCTAGCAGGGATACTTGACGGCAGCTTGCAGAGAACCTTCATGAACCTCCATTTATTTCCTACCGTAATCCGCTACGACAGCCCTTCTTTGCGCATCAAATCACGCTGCAGCCGCAAATCTCTTTCCCATTTGACGCCCCATTGGCTATCGTAATCGGCTGATGACAAAAAGTGCTCATTATTAGGCCGTATTATAGGATGGTATCTAATTTTAGGGGGCCAACCCACGTTATGGGACTACGCGGCGACACGTGCAATTTATGAGATTTTCCACCATTTAGCAAAGACGTCTATTGTAGTTGGGCGTACAAAGGAACGTATTGTAGTGTTTGCTGTGTTTAGAGTATTGCTCATCCGTGACGCGGCGGTTAGCTTTTTGTGGAATTAAAGGAGAGAAGGGAGAGAGAATTTTTGCGGGGCAAGCTAGCAGAGCATCTTTGAGGAATTGGAAGGGACGAAGGGGGCAGGCTAGCGGAGATCATTTGGGAACGGGGGACCGACTTTTGAAGTAAATTTTCGCGACCTTATAGACGCTGGCAGGCTAGCAGAGATCATTTGAGAACTGCCCTTACTATAGCTCACGAATAAACAGCCGGATTATTTGCTTTTTCATAGATCCAGAGCTTCACGTAGACAATAGTCTGGCTCCGAAGCCAGACTAAAAGCCACATGGTCACCCGGCTTCTCCACTTCCGGTTCCGGCAAGGTTTTCCGCAACCATTGTTGAGGGGTTGTTTCGGAAAGATACATTTGGTAGTTTATGGCGGCAGTCCTACCGTACCCCACTTTTCTTCCGGCCCACACCACATCCACTTTCCCCCCGCAAAAAGCCACGTCTCACCCCACGTAAAAAATGCCAAAACGTGTCGGATTTCCGCGTAATATTAATCCCAATCTCTACGAGCGGAAATCCCCTGTAAATCTTCTTATTTTTACGGAAATCCCGTCGCCCCCCAATCCTGGACCCCCAATTTGGACACCGTAGGCTGTAAAGTCTTACTGTAAAGTGTTTTTACTCAGGCTGGCGTTTTAGAATGGGATCAAGCCTATCTTGTGCAGAATTTTTCGCTGATTCCGAATCTGGTTTCCAAATTTGCTGCCGACCTTTATTGAAAAAGTTATTCGACATTTATACTACAAAAAATTTACTAAATCTGGATTTTTTGCGTTATTTTTTTATTGTCGTCACCTCCGACGTTAAAACTGGCTCGGTAACGTTTTTAGAGGTCAAAGCACGATTTTATCCAAAAATCATATGTTTTTGTGCAAAAAGCAAAAGAAATTGTGGAGGGCGGGGTTTGAACCGCCGCCCTGTGCTTGGCAAGCGAACAGCTTACCAATGCACCATGGTGCCATCTCGGAAAGGGGCTTCGGGAGGGTTGATACGGGGCACAACATTAACTGGACCCAGGCAGGGAATAGTGGGCCAGAATCCGAATTTATGCCGTTTTTAAGCTTAATTTAGACCCCAAATGACTTTTGAACGCGAAGTCCGCAGCAAATTTGGAAAACGGATTCGGAATCAGCAAAAAATTCTGAACAAGATAGGCTTGGTCCCATCCTAAAACGCCAGCCTGAGTAAAAACACTTTCAGTTAGCTATTGCAGGGGCAAGCGAGCAGAGATCATTTGGGATGTCGGCCCAACAAACTGAAATGCCACCATCAACGAGGTGCGGGAGGCTAGCAGACCGGCGATTCCTTTACAGAATGCAACTTCCACACAGATAGAGAGATTTCCGAAATAGTCTCTGCTAGCCTTCACCCACCATGACCCCCGAGCAGGATTTAGGGACTTGGAAGGCAAGGGTTCAGGCGACCCTGCCCTGTCGCACCCTGTGCGATCCCTTTATTATCTGCTTCCGGCCTATCCGGAGTCTATATTATATAAAGTGCCCTCGGGATGGCACGCGGGGCTTTTTCCTATGAGTCCGCCTCTCTCATTCAGTCGTCCAACAGGACAATGAGAACCACGATTAGGCCTATCTTGTCTTATATATTAAATATCTTATCTTATATCTTATTATATTATCTTATCTTATATCTTATTATATTGTAATAGGAATAAACCGCAACCGTACGGTACGTCTAATAGTATAACATAACAGTAATACATATAAGGGGA